CCAAAATGAATTAATAACAAGTGTCATCATTCTAGTTTCAGTTGTGTTATGGATTGACTATCCGCCTCTAACTCCTTTAACCTTTACTCCGTTAAGTCACGAACGTTGTGGCCATTTACTCTTTTTTCTCTACTTTAAAAAAAAATAAGTTGATATTATATATATATATATATATATGTATGTGTGTGTGTTCCTAACCATTTGAAAATTAAGTAAAATCATACGAACCTATCCGAGCCATTTGTTTTGAAAGTCAATGGTTATAGTGGAATGAAGGTTACAACTTGATGAAAAATAAAATAAAATAAAGAAAAGGTAATATTGGAAGAAAATGTGTTTGATTTTTGGAAAATATTTGCAGAATTCTCACCCCCATTTTACAATCCCAAAAAATCCGTTCTTTTTCCACAATCATCGAAGCAAAACCTGTTCTTCCCTGATCTTCCAATCAAAAGTTGTTCTTCCCCCATCTTCCAAGCATAAGCATTACAAATCCATTGACAAACCCTTCTTTGAAGTCACGAAATCGTTCTTGCCACATCTTCAAAACATAAACATAAACTTAAACTGGCGTTCCTTCCCCATCTTCAAAACAAAAATAAAAACAAGGACAATTAAGCATCACGAAGACATTCTTCCCTCATATTGAAGGTTGTGTGTTCATCTTCTTCATTCTTCCTCCTTCTCTAAAGGGAGATCGAGATTAGGGTTTCATTTTTTGTCAAAAGATTTGATTTTTGTTTGAATTCGGTTTAGGGTTTTGATTTGTATTGATTTTGTATCACAAAACTTTTGAATGATCATGAATTTGATTTACAAACCCAAAAATCCGCCGATCCCATGATTATATGGTTTTTCCTTAAAGTTGTTTCATTTATGAACTTTGATTGTTCCAATATTTTTACCAAAGTTTATAGGGGAAACTAGAAAACTGACACCCATGGAACAATTTTATTTGTTTAAAGTTCATAATATAACAACACCATGAACTTTGGTTGTTTTAATATTTTTTTACCAAAGTTCATAGGTGAGAGGTGAAGCTAGTGAAGATGAACGGGAACCGTGGTGATTATCCATACCCAAAACCTAGAGGTAACACAACTCCTTGTTTCGAGTTTGGGTTTCTAGAGAAGACAACGATCGAGAAAATGGGGAACAATGGTGTGTTTCAACAAATATGGGGAATGGGTGGCAAATTCACGAGAGAAAGAAGAGGAGTGGGTAGCGAGTTCAGTAGAGAAGATGGGGACTAAAGATGGTGTGGGTGCGAAAGATATGTAAGAGAAAGGCGAGGGTGTTACGATTTTGGCAAGGTGGGAACGTGGGAGTGGGTTGTAAAGAGAGAGAGAGAGAGATGATAAGTCTTCTAGGGTTAAAAGATTATTAGGAGGGTATGGTCTAAAATGACCCTTAGGGGTTGTTTACCAGATTTTCTATTAAGTCCTGTTTGTATAAATTCGTTTGTTTGGATAAATTTGTCTGTCTAGATAAACATGTAGTGTTGTTTCTTTTTTCTTCTGAATCAATGATCTTAATGAAAAAATTGACCATTTTATCCCTTAATGAACTGAACATTGTTTAACAAATATCACAGTACAAACAAATCAATTAACATCAAGATGCATTTTTTTATTAACCTGGATATCCAACCCGCTATGCGAGCCGACTAATCCCAGAGCGACCACCTGCTTTGAGGGTAGCCTGGAGTCGCCGCATTTGAACCTCCGTGGCCACAAGGTCTCATCCAATATCATAGTACTAACAAATCAATACTTTGTCTTTGAGGTTTGATTGAACTGATTAATACCAACAGTACCGTAAACACCTTGGTTCCTAAAAAACAAAAAAAAAATAGAGATCTGAAATTAAAGAACTCTAAATCAAGATTGGATACCCTAAAGATTGTACCCTAGGATTGAAAAAAAGCAAGAAATCGAATAATAAATTGTTGAAAAATGTCTAGAAATCGATCTTTATGAAAACCGAAAAAGAAATCGATCTTGCCAGTGCAGACAAGAGAAATCGATCTTGTATGAAAACTGAAGAAGAAACAAAAACTTTTCGCTGCAAACATGAGAAATCGATCTTGTATGAAAACCAAAGAAGAAACTGATTTGTTGATGAAATCGAAGAAGAAATCGATCTGTTGATGAAAACCGAAGAAGAAATCGATCTGTTGATGAAAACCGAAGAAGAAATTGATCTTGCCGATGTAGAAATCGGTCTATTGCTGAAAACTGAAGAAGAAACCGATGGAAGGATAAATCGCCGATCGCCAGAAAGGAAGAAGAAATCAACGAAAAGGAGGCTCGATGGAAGGATGCGTGTATTGAAGGAGACTAGGGGTGAAAGAAGGCGTGTCTTGAAGAGGCGTGTTCACAAAAACTTAGGGGCAGGTGTGTCTTTTTTTTTTTTTTTTGGCTGAATGTGGACAACAACCCATATCCATCTGTGTGAATAAGTCATTGACTGTGCGAATAAGCCGAAAGCCCAATTAAGCCCATTAAGTCATAGTAAACACCCCCTTAGACCAAAATCAAGCAAGTTTGCATAACATAAAAGATTTTTTTCGATAAAAATTTGTAGTGTAACACCCTAAGATCACAATTGCATATAACCATATATTTCATATATCAAAAAATATAATTTACAATTTGGCCTCACTATATACAAAAGCTAGTTACAAAAGTAGCTACCAATCCCCCCCCCCCCCCCTATCATAGTACAAAACTTGTATACGTAACAAGTAACAAGTAACAAGTATTCTAGCACAATAGATATCATATCATCAAAAAATCAATTATATAATCTTCACAATTTTCCCTTCTCCTTTATCATCAGACTGTGTCCGACTTGTAATGTACATTTTAAAACACCAAAAAGAGTTTAGACTTTAAGGTCTAGTGAAAAATCATTTTGATTGTTATTACAGGGTGAAAATCACCAAAACACTTTTATAAAACCATATTTTTATAAATAACAAATAAACAATGTTTTATCAAAACAAACCTCTTTTGCTCATCAAAATAATGAGACAACGCCCCTTTATCGCATCAAACAATCAGATATACTCTTTATCGCATAATACATAAACTTGTCGCATCACATAGATAATATTATAATTTTCTCGCATCACATTGGTTCAGACAACCCTATTTCCTTGCAACGCACTGGTGCGAGAACCCATCTCATCGCATCACATTAGGTGCGATAAACCCAACTTGTCTCATCACAAGGATGCAACAAATACAACTTTTCACATCACATTGGATGAGATAAACTAGTCATCGCATCAATGGATGCGATAAACCCAAGTCATCATATCACAAAGATGTGACAACAAATTGTCATAAGATAAAATTCCAGTTTTTACTTCCATGTGATTTTGCCACCCTTATAACCATGATATACCTCTTTTGATTATGTCACCCTTATATCTAAAATACACCCTTCCTGATCAAGCCACCCTTATCCAAAATACAAATATCCTGATTGTGCCACCCTTATAACCACAATACACATATCTTGATTATGTCATTCTTATTCCAATCATTTGATATTAACATATCAAAATACAGAATTATGCTAAATATAACATAAAAATAGTTTTTTCATAAATTTCCCCACGTAAAGAACCATACGGTACTGATTCAACAAAATAAGATAAAAAGTTTGTAAAATAAACTGACCTTATAATCAAAAGGAGAAGGAGATATGAAAATGAACACCAACAATTATCCAAGTAATAATCATGGAATCAACTTCTTCTAATCTCCCTTCGGTTTTTGTTCTCTTCCACTCTCAAGAATACACACAAAAAGTTTTCCTTCTTTTTCTCGGCTCCAAAACACACACATGAAATTTTCTTTTCTCTTTTTACACACTTTACCATCCCAATGAGATAAATCAACTTAACTTGTAATAACAAACATAAACAAGTAAGAGGCGGTAGAGGTTTTAAAAGAATTAAGCACATATACAAATTTAACCTCTCAATTTACCATCATTATTTAAAAACAACCCCGTACTTAATAACCGATATCCCAATTATCACACGGAGGACTAAATTAGAGAAAAACAACAAAATATAGGGACTAAAAATGAAATTTACTTTTAAATATATTTTAAGGTAATAGATTCAAAAGTAAATTACGCCATAAGTCTATGTGGTTTGCTCAAAATCTATATATTGTTCCTTTTTCAAAATAATTTTATTGAGTATTCTTATAGTTTGCATTTTGTTACGAGCTACATCTTTGTTCCTATCAAAATTAACTCTGAAATTTTTTGGTCAAATTACTATTAAAATGATAATAATAAATAATATATTATATATATGCACATCCCATGCCCCAATCCCCAAAGTAACATCACCACCTTTGGCCTCCTTCCCTTCGGCTACACCACTCCACCGCTAGAAAACCTCGCTCCACCCTTCCCCCTTCAGCTCGAGATACCAGATCCCTATTAACGTTTGTTTTCGAGATAACCTAAATCCCTATCATATTCTATAGGTTTTTCTTTTCTTTTCTGGGAAGTAGTTTCAGGTGGGATTTTTTTGGGGGAAATAGTTGTAGGATTTTTTGGGAAATAGTATTATTCTGTGTATATATGCTTCTTTTATGCGTGTGTGTGTGTGTGTGTATGGTGTATGTGCTCCTTGTTTATAAAATGTGTGTCTGCAAGAGAATGTGTGTGTGTGTGTATGATTGCAAATTCTGATGGGGGTATTTCACTGATAGGGTGGGTCTCACGTCGGTGGGCGAGTGATGAGAACATTAAGTTAATGGATTAGAGTAAACTCAGTTAAAGATAGGTACCTAACTAGTAATAAAATGCAAACTATAGAATCGCTCGGTATAATTATATTGAAAGAAGCACCATATCTAGACATGAAGCAAACCACAGGGACCTATTGTGTAAAATGCTCTAAATTCAAAGTTCTAAAAGCGTGTGAAAGAGAGAATGAAAAAGAAAGAAAAAAAGTTGGTGCCGGAACACAAAGGAAAAGCAATCGTAACTGAAGCTCCCCTCGACGCTTGACCAAATCTCCATTGTATTCAAGGTTCAAGCTCCTTCTTCCTCTTTCTTCTTCGATGGCTCTGTGAACAACTTCTCTAAAATCTCAAGAAAGAAGACGAAGAATCATGTGGGTGTTCTATCTGATCTCGCCTCCTTTGACCATGGGGATGGTGATATTCACGCTAAGGTACTTTGCCGGACCAGATGTCCCTCGTCATATCCTATTTACCGTCGGTTACACTTGGTTCTGCTCTCTTTCCTTCATCATCCTCGTCCCCGCCGACATTTGGACTGTAAGGCCTTTTCTTTGATTCTTATTTTTGTTTATGTCATGTTAGATTACAAGTGCTTGACCGAAATGGTCATTGCATAATCTTCTTAGAGTTTTGGTTGGATCGAATTTTTAAACCCTAGTTGATTCTTGGTTGAAATCGACGTTTGAAGAAAAAGCTTCGATTTGTTCCAATTTTGTATGTCGACTAGTTCCTCTCCAAGTAATAAATCGATAGGGACTTTTTGAAGTTCTATTTGCCAAAAGATCTAAAAGCATCAAATTGTTACACCAACTTAATTCTATTGTAGTCCTTATGAAGTTCAATCTGGCTGGCATTTTTTACCAGAAGAAGTTAAGATCCACCATCCATAACAAAATGAAGTTGAAAGTAGCTCTGTCCAGTTTATCTCTTCTTCTGGAATTGAGGTAGCAGGAATGATGAATGGTGAAAATATATTTGATGGATCAGTCGAAGTAAACTGAAAGGATTTGAACAATTCTTTTTTGATTTTGCTAACAATTTACTCAAAAGATGAGGAGATTTCTATTATAATCAACAATTTCACTTTAATCCAGCAACTTGGTGAAATTTACAGTAAAGCAGGTGATAGGAGTAGCATTTTGACACTACAAAGGAGTTGAAAAAGATTGCTATCACTATAAGAAGAAAAGTCTTTTGGTTGCTTCAATCATGCAGCCGTTCTCACATTTCGGTCGCTACTCAGGAATCCTACATTTCATCTAACTTCCCTGTTCATGCTAAACCTCATCCTCCGTAGTTGGAAAAACATACACATTGGGTGGAATTGGAAAGGAAATTATATAGCTATTGACTGTCAATATGTCTGTTCAATATATTCAATTAATAAACACCATTGCTTTAACAAGACCAAATTTATCTCCCAAGGAAATAGGATATTGTGAGTCCACATCTTTCAGGAAAGTGATGCTTGCTAATTTGCTCCTAAGCGAGCTGGTTGGATAGTGCATAAAAGTGATTCTCTAAGGCAACTGAATTCTTTTAGTTGGTAATGCGCTAGCTGTCTACCATTCGGGATACTTAAAGGCTTGATTGGGGCACTAACCCCTCTTTGTTGCTTGGGACTAATGATTCCTGCACCATATTAAGACAAGCCAAACTAAATTCTTGGAAACAAATTCAGGCTCTGTTGAGTTTTTTTTCTAAAGAACATAGATGTCTTGGTTTGACATGAGTTGTTGATTTTTAATAAATCAAAGCAAACGAAACCAATTGAAACAAACCCAATATATCCTACACAGAGGTAGGGTCTAGGAATGGTAGGATGTATGCTAACCTTACCTCTACTGCTCTACTCCAAGGGGCAGAGCTGCTATGTAGGTGAAGACCCCCGACTTGCAAACAAAAAAAAACAAGGAACAAGTGTGGTAATTAGTAGCGAAGTGTGTGGAAACAAATAATAGGGACAATGCGATCTTCAGTCTTCTATGAAGTCTTTTAAGTTAATATGAAATATGGAGCTTGCTAGTACAAGCTTGACTAGAACACCCTATAATTAATACATGTTGGATATGGGACCCTTTTTGAATTGAAATCGGTCCATGAATTTGTGGATCCAGACCAAAGGGCCTTTGGCCCAGCGGCATCCAATTTTCCAACCTTTCTAGAGGTCAAGAGTTCCAACCTCACCAAAGGTGAGGCATGTGTGTGAGCTTCATTTGCTGTATATAAATATTTTATACTTCAAAAAAAAAATGTGGATCCAACTGTCAGCTAAGTTGGTCATGATGGTTAACAGTTAACCATCTTATCCTTTTTTGTTGTCTGTTTTTTTTTTTCTTAAGAAGGCTGTGTTACTTCATACATCGTACTCAAGTGAAATTCTTGAATAACGTTAATGAACTCCCACCAATTCCGTCTCTGTAGGTAAATCACTGTATGATGTTCTACTTTTGCTTTCCTGTAAATGTGCTTTGTTTGTGTATGACTATTGATCATAATAATATGATCATTTTGGGAGTTGATACATCGCTGTATAAGATGCAGTGCTGGTTTCTGGCCTAAATGGATTATGTTTGGTGGAAGACCATTTGTGGATCACGAGCTCTATAATTCCCTGCTCGGTGGCAAAAACAAAAACATGCTCATAGCCTAGCTCTTAAAGTTAGGGCTATGGTCAACGCATGCAAATATTTTAGTGGCAGCAATCAAATAGGAAAAATTCCAGTTTCTTCATTCGTACTGCTAAAAGAAATATTTTTACGTTGTTTAGTTTTCTTACAATTATGTGGAGTGCGTAGAATTATTTCTATGTACCTATCTAAATTTGCCCCAGTACCTAAAAACTGAGGCAGGCATACACATGAATCAGTAACATGGTTCCATTGTACATTTACTTTAGTTGTTTAAACATATTGCTGATTCTTTTTCTTGTGTGCAGGCTATGATTGATCATGACAATGGTGGGATTTCTTTCTTCTGGAGTTGGTCATATTGGAGTACATTTTTACTTACTTGGTATGCATCACATTTTTATATGTGTATCTGTTATCCTGTTGTTATTTGTCAAGTCAAAGGATACCTAATTTGTAATGTCCTTGAAAGGAAAGGTTATTGTTCTCAACAGATGGAGTATTATATGTGCTCATTCACTTATTCAACAAAAAGTTGTTCAGCATCTGGAGAAATACATTTGAAGTCCTCAGAAGCATGTGCTTGAACCCTTAGTATAGAGACATTACTTGCTTTGATGTGTATGCCATCACTTTCATACGTAATTTTCATTTATAACTTAACGAGGAAGCTGCTAGTAATGTTCCTTTTAGTGTTTCTGGTGGTCATACACTTCTGTAATTTCAGAGCTCCATGACAATTAGCTTCTAGATGCATCATATTCTCATCTATTTTTGTTGAACAAATTCTCTAAACAGGGCCGTGGTGCCTATCCTTCAGGGTTATGAAGATGCTGGGGATTTCACTGTTACAGAAAGATTGAAGACCAGCATACAAGTGAATTTGGTATTTTACCTGATTGTTGGTGCTGTAGCATTTTGTGGACTTGTACTGCTTATTCTTTTGCACAAAAACTGGTTTGTTTCTGATACCCTTACTTATTTGATAGCAATCCACTATTTTTTTTGCACTTTCTGGTTACTTATTTCTGAACTCTTATATGCATCCCTGGAGGATTTATTGTTTCTGATATATAAATTTAGAAAGCTTAAACGGCGATGCGTCTTCTTTGATGCCATCATCATTCCTTTAGGCTCTAAATTGAAGGAAAAATTTGAAATAGACACTCTTCACTACTTATTTGATAAGATATATTGGCATTCCTTTGTTCTTTTTGTATAAATCAATCAAAGCAGTAGAGCACCTTCTTTTACCCTGCTGAATATACAATTTGGTCATATTAACCTACAGATTAATTAGATTTGTGCGTTTTTCCTGTAGTCTTGTGCAAGTATATGCATATAGAGCTAGCAATGCTACTATCTTAATGTTGTATTAAACTTTATCATACACATTTTATCTTTGGCATTTTTTTCCTAAATTAGTCTATTTTCCTTCTAATATCACCGATATGATTTAAGTACATGTAGTGTAATTCCTTTTGGTTATCTTCTTATACTTCTCAAATGATTGCCAGGAGTGGTGGCATAATTGGTTTTGCCATGGCATGTGCAAATACATTTGGGCTAGTCACTGGTGCATTTCTCCTTGGCTTTGGTCTAAGTGAAATCCCAAAAGGTATTTGGATAAATGCTGACTACAGTACTCGCCAAAAGGTTCTATCCCATAAAGTCGCTCGGATGGCTGTAAAACTTGATGATGCTCATCAAGATCTTTCAAACGCTATTGTTGTAAGTGTATTGTTCATTTGTCTACATTGAGTTTCTTTCAAATAACATTTTTAGACAACTCATGATGCACCTATTGCTTGCTCATGCCTATGTCTCCTAAGACACACGTGTTACATCAGAAGAAAGGGAGGCAAGGAAATAAGCGTGTATTTGACTGAAGAGATAGAACCAAGTTGAATTTATCACTACTTAATAGAAGTTGTGTGCAACTTATGATCATCTCGTCATAAGATTAACTTGTTAACAATTTGTAATGGCATGAGGACAGAGTTAGGCTTGTTTAATAGCATATGCGAAAAGATTAATGTAGGAAATAAAAAGAATATTTAGAGGTAAGCAATTTTCAATCATCAGAGTATACACACTAGTAATCTTACATGTAAGTGTCATCTTAATCTTATTCATCTTAAATTAAAGGTTGGACTTGAAGAAACATTTTTCTAAAAATATTAGTATCTCATCACTTTGTTTCTTTTTTCCTGGGTGATATTAAAGTTCAATGAGTTAGGAGGCATGCAATTGCCTAGTTTTCGCTGTCCTCTGCAGTGATGGTTATCTTTGACTACATATAATCTCTTCAAGTTCTAACACAAGTGTTTATTCTATTAGGTTGCTCAAGCAACATCGAAGCAAATGTCAAAGCGTGACCCCTTAAGACCATACATGAATATCATCGATAAAATGTTGATGCAAATGGTAAATATGCTTTGTAGTTTCAAATTTTACATATTTTGCACTTGTCATTTGACTTTTTTGATGGTTGGGTGACGAGCACATATTCATACAAGGCATTTATATTTCCAGCTTACAGAAGATCCTTCTTTCAAACCCCAAGGAGGAAGGTTAGGAGAAAATGATATGGATTATGACACGGATGAAAAATCTATGGCAACACTAAGACGCCAACTAAGAATAGCACGGGGCGAGTACTATCGTTATAAAAGGCAAGTCCCTAGAGGAGTTTATTTGTCTGGATGTCGGTCTTAACCTTGAATCTTTTACTTTCACTTTCACATTGTGTTAGTAGTACACATTTGCATCGTTTGAGGATATTGTTAGTTGGATATGTACGTGATAGGTAATCATCAATTGTGTGGGCATTGATAACTATAATTTTCTCTTGTAACTTCAAAATTGTTGACTAAATACCAAATAGCTAAAGACTCGGTATATTGTTACTATATTTTGTTTAGAAAATTGCTGTGGTGGAAGCCTTGTTTTACGAAGGACCAGTTTGTCACTTGGGTCATGACTTGAGCCTGTCATCTGTAAATGGCAGTTCAAACATGTGTGACAATGCTTCTTTGCCTGTAACCCTTTTTGTGACCAAATATGTTTTAGGCATTTACTTTATTATATTTCTGGCCTAATCATTCAGATTTTTCTTCTTGATCAGTGAATATATGAATTTCGTGACGGAAGCTCTTGAATTGGAGGACACTATAAAGAATTATGAGCAACGCAGTGCAACTGGATGGTTCGTTCTCTGTCCTGCTTCTGCCTATCCTAACATAGTATACTAGTAATTCTAACTTTTGCCAATTTTATGGCATTCTCAAATTGAACCAGTGCCTCTTATTCGTTCTACCATTGGTTCCACCCCTCCAAACTATTACATATTTTCATGAACTATTGTTGCTTTTGATTTGCACGAGGCTTGGTCTTTTGGCCTGTACCGTCTCAGGATTTAGTAGGAAGGTTTGTGCATTGCAGTTTGATGCTCCGTGCTCTTTGATATTGCCGCAAAACTGGCCATTAAATTGTTCACAATTTTGGAACTAAAATGTCTCGTGTTTAAATAATCTCAATGTAATTACTTTGACTGATTTACCCTTATAAGAAATAGGATGTTGTTGGCACATTTTCATTGATCAAGATTTGTTGACTTTGGACAAGTCACCAAGTTTAAGGTAGCAGCTTTGTTTATGTCCTGGACCAAGTCAATACAAGAATCCATATTAGTGACTAACAGACTTTATCTTCAAACTGAAGTTTTGAAGATGATATCTATATGGTATGCTTACAATCTTTTTATTTGGCTTATTTAACTTGCAGGAAATATATTTCAAGCTTCAGGCCTCAGCGTCCGGGGAAGCTAGGGTCTAGTCTCGATTCTATTGGTAATTTTTTATTCGTGCAAAATGTCACGTCTCCGATACTTTTTTAATTTAATTATGAAATCTCTACATGGTGTTCTTGGAGAATTTTCTCGTGTATATAGAGTATCCAAGTAGAGGGGGATTTTCATTTGTATACTTGAAAGGTCCGGATGAGTTCTGCCTCTTTCTTTTGTCATCTAGCGCAAATAACTTATAAGCTATATGTTGAAAGCAAGTAACTTGGCTCAATTTTGGTTTTTCTTTGTTTTCTAGTGTATTAGTCGGAGTGCTTAAATTATATCTATAACTTTACAACTGTCATTTTGTCTCTCTTATGAGCTGGGAGCTTTGTAAATGAGGTGATGCTATTGATTTGATATGAATACATTCTAGGTTACATCTACTTTTTAGAATTTCTATCAAGTGTGTACAAAGATTTATGTATGGTCCATAATATTTCATTTGGAATCATTTTTCAGAGTTGGTATGGCGGTGTATACTGCGGAAGCAACTCAAAAAGCTTTCAGCTATCATATTAGGTTGTTTGACAGCTGCAATTCTTCTAGCAGAAGCCACTATACTGCCCAGCGGAGTCGATTTTTCACTTTTCTCTATTTTGATTAATGCCATTGAAACAAATGAAGTGCTTGTGCAGGTAACATCTCACCCTTTTATCACATTACTTTTATTTGGGTTAACGAGTTTTAAAATATTTTGCTACAGGAAGATGAAGATAAGAAAGAGTTAAAACTATGAAGTTATATTAATTTATCTCCAGATGCATAGGGGACTGGACCCCTCATTTCCTGTTCCTTGGAAAATATTTCTTACCCTCGTGTATCTGTTTTCAGGTTGTTGGTTTCATTCCTCTGATGTATATGTGTGTTTGCACTTACTATTCTTTATTCAAAATCGGAATGTTGACATTCTACTCACTTACTCCAAGTCAAACAAATTCAGTCAGTCTGCTTATGATATGCTCGTAAGTTTTCATATAGCTTTTAATTTGATAGTCTGGTTTCCATATGTTCATTATGGTGTACATAATATTGTTCTGACGTAAAATCTCCATCAGGCAGGTGGCACGGTATGCACCTCCAATCTCATACAACTTTCTAAATCTCATCCATCTTCCACGTGATGCCACAACTCTCTTTGAACGGGTCAGACTTCTATCTGTAGTATCTTTCTATTAACTGATGCAACCGAATGAAAATTCATAAATAGACAACAATTTTTTAAATCAAGTACTAGAAACATTCATTTTTAGTTGTTACAGTCGATGCCATGCATGTTGTGCTTCATAACTCTGCATCCTAGTTTGTGCTATATTATTGGTCCTATTTCCCTTTGTTATGGAGGTAAAACAAAATTTATTGATCACAGCATAATGGTTGGGATCGTTATGACTGCATCATAGTTTTTATGTTAGATTGTTAGGATTGATGACTACTATTAGAACAATCTCATTTCTATGTTAGCAGTACCTTTAATTTCCTCCATACGCCAAGTGTTTGCGGTTGTACTCCTTGTCATGAAAGTAACAAATTATCAAGTGCTGAGTGTTGATATGTATCACATGTACAGAGAATGGGAAAAATTGATGATGCAGTCCCTTTTTTTGGGGAAGGATTCAATAAGATCTATCCACTTATTATGGTCGTATATACCATATTGATTGCAAGCAATTTTTTCGACCGAGTTATGAGTTATTTTGGGAACTGGAACATATTCCGATTGAGAAATGAAGCTGATGATGACCTTGATGGATATGATCCTTCAGGATTGATGATCCTGCAAAAAGGCAAGTTCTTCCATTCTTTCAAAAACTGCGTCCTATCTTTATACATAACATAACATCATAATCCATGCCCTTTTTCTTTCTTTTGTCTATAGAACGCTCGTCGCTTGAGAAAGGACATAAAGTTGGTGAACTTGTCATTCCTCTTGCAAGACATTTCAATGGTGCAAGTGTGGATGTTGAATCTGTAAGAGATAGCACGGTAAGGGAGTCCTGATTGATATATGAGCAATACTGTGTTTTTATTATCAAGTAACCAAGCACAACCTTAAGAAGTAGCTAAGAAAGGTAAGATCTTGGATTTGCTTCCCAGAGTTCTTGGATTCGAGTCCCAGCCACTAGAGGGAATGACAATGTCATGTCTCCAAATCCCATACCCTTCCCGTCCACCAATCACATGAAGACACATTATTAGAGAAATAATAAAAAAATGAATTAAAGAAATTTATATCAAAAAGATCGTCTTCGTATGATTGAGGGGTATCCCATTGGAGGTTTGTATGTCTATGGGATTAGTTGAGGTGGGTGCAAGTTGGCCTCGACACCTATGCTTACCAAAAAAAGTAGCCAACCGCCACTAATGCTAGCTTACATTAGGCGCGTTCAAATTCGAGTCGTTACTCTCTAATGTTTCCTTTAATTTTTCTTACTAATCTAACGTACATTACATTGCTATATTGTTTAGATTGCAATTGATTCAAGGCAAACAACCTCTTTAATCGACAAAGGAAACCGAGGTTATTCAGAACTATCAAAAACAGATGGTCGTGATAATGTCAGCAAAGACATTATTACCAGAAAATATGAAGTGTCAAGGACAGATCAGTCCACAAACTCAACCACCTCCAACTTCTCTTCACTCGATATAGACAAAAACCAGGGCATGGAAAGTGGACAATCGTCGAAAATAGTCTCAACTTGGGTATCGATGAAATCAAATTTCCAAAACTTCAGATCTAACATGGAGGCCAGGCGATTCATACCGTTACGCCAGGTTCAAGATCCACAAGTACCTCAAGACTCTTCTTCAGAATCACTCGATGATATTTTTGAGAGGTTAAAACGAACGACACAAGATCGACAAAGTGATTTTCAAGGACGTCCGTGAAAAGCACACAAATGATACGTTGTAAATTTTCTTTTATAGCACCCACCATCAACAGAAACATTCTTTCTGCAAATTATTGGATGGAAAGAGAGTAGCATACATAGAGGGAGAATACAGCAATTATTTGAATATCCCATGTATTAATTATTATATAATATATATTAAAGAAATTAGACTTCAACATCTAAATACATGTGAAACTCCTTCTGTCAATTAACAACTGGAGATTGGATGTTGAAGCCAAAACATACAAGTATAATGATTCACTTACTAAATATGCATCCAAGACAAAGTAAACAGATAGAGTTAGAAGACAACACCGAAATTCACGTTGTAACCCAAATCGGGAGAAAACCACTAGTGGAGGAGACTAACGAGAGAAATCCACTAGTGAAAGATGAAGATTACAATGCTCTTGAAGAAGTAGAAACACAGTTATGGTGAGTGTGTGTTTTGGAGATAGAAATGATAAATCGGGTGATATGTGAACATGTTCTTCAGCTGAAAATGAGCTCCATCTATTTTGAGAAAACACTCAAAAAGGAAAAATAAAGTGTAAACTTGATGATGTCTGTAATGATGAAAGTTGTAGTTGGCAAACATGAGTTTTCCAAGCGAAGATGATCAAATTTTTGTGGTATAGTGGTATCGTAATCTTTAACCTCAAAGGAGGTCAGAGGTTCAAACCTCACTAAATGTGAGGAAGGTTTGTGAGTTTATTTGTTGCATTTGCCGTATATAAATATTATATGCTTAAAAGATCTTCCAAAAACAAAACTCTGTAAAGCATAAACCATCATCACTAGAAAACGCATTGACTTCTCTGAAAAATAATCATCAAAATATTATTCTCCTCTACCATAGCCCCTCACGGGATACGTCAAACAGCGAACATCGACGAAGTTCGAAAATAAATCGAAGTTAGCCATAGGAAGAACCTTCGCCATCTTATCCGCCAGATTGTTTATAAGTGCAAATTTTATTCACCTTGAAGTAGCCGTTAGCAATGACTTCACGAACAAAATGATAACGCACGTCAATCTGCTTTGTACGCTCATGGAACATTTGGTCTTTTGCTAAGAAGATAGCAATTTGATTATCACAATAAACCGAGTCTACAGCCAAATCATTGCTAAGCTCACCAATTAAGCCTTTGAGCCACATCGCTTCTTTAAACGCATCCGTTATAGCTATATACTCCATTGCAGTACTAGATAAGCAACTGTTGGTTGCAAAACGACTTTCCAACTAAGCGCACACGAGCCAATAGTATACACTCTATAAGGCCTTCCAAACATAAAGAGGTAAGTTCATATGCTTTATTTATTTATAATGTTCAACATGCATACATAGATAAAAAGGGTGGGTGACTGTTTGTGATTGTCAGGATGACTTCTCTTCAATTGTTGAATTTTGATATAGTGATTGTTAAAAGAGGAATCTAACATCGACCCAAATAATCAAATTCAATTCTTCAATCTTGTCTCATCTCTCTGAGTTTTTTTCCACCTGGAAAAAAAAAGACATTTTTATCCCACTTAGGTCAGGTCTTGTCCCATCTAATGTTATGCCAAACGTGAATAAGTTTTTGTACTGTCTAGTCCTGTGTAAGCATCAAGATGGTATCTTTATTGAAGTTTATATAACCAGTGGGTAGGTGCAAGAATTGTAACAAGTCACCCGAAAGGAAGATAATCGCTCATGCTCAGGGCAAGGATAGTAAATTTACATACTTTGGGGTTCTTACATTTTACTTTATATAACTATGTTATTTAGAATATAACTAAGTGTAGAAAATTAAACAAATGCAAAAAATCGATTAACGTAACCTAATATGCAGAAAATTAAAAGGGTGTAGAATGCATAAATTAAACTAGAGTGTAGGGATTAGAGATAATAAACGTAAGGAAAAATGAAGAGGTAAAAGATGGAGAAGTGGAGAAATTTGAAACATAATGCAAACAGCCAAGAAGTATTAAAACTCAAGAACAATTCAGTTGATGATAAGATTTGAACAAAACGGTAAATAACCCAGTATAAGAAGATAGGGAAGAAGATACTGGTAATCATATGAAAAACTGATTGCAAGTCGGATTCCAATAGCCTAAGCTTGAAGCACAATCTTCTTCTAGAAGTCTTATAAGAATCGACCAAAAGAAAGCTTCAAAAGTTGTATGTATCGAATGCTAAAAGTAAAATGTCTGTCCCCTCAAAACAAACCTAAAGGGGTTTAAATATGCAAGACAAAAGCCCAAAATAAAATAGTACATACGACTTTCACGGATGTGAAGAATCTTTCAGGCTTGTGAAAATGCAGCAGAAATGAAGTTCGTTTCAGGAGCAGTGTTTTCACGACTATGAAGAAATTTCCATGCCCACGAAACCGTGGCAAAAACTTCTATCAAGAATTAGGGTGTTTTCTTTGCACCCACCAAGCAGACTTTCATGCCTATGAAGCGTGGGCAGCAACTACATCCTTACGATTTCTCATCCAATGGTTTATTCTCTTTATTACTTGACATTTTCTCTTCTTTCTTCACCTTGAGCATGCTTTCACTCTTCTCATGTTCAAAACTATGCACAATCTGCACAAAATATATACCAAAAACATAAAAACTATCCTCGAAAGAACTTCCAAACATGATTAAAGAAACGTAAAAGAGCAACAAAAACGAACAAAAAGATTAAACTAAGGATTAAAACCAGAAAAGACACAACTAAAATGCATAAAGTTAGGTGCATAAAATGCACTTAAAAGTTATAATACTAATAAATAACATAAAAAATATAACATTACAAATTCACCTAAAAACGTCTGATACATTTAATAAAAGTTTTGATCTATAAACATTATTATTTTAGTAAGAAAAAATAAATAAATAGACTCATTTAATAAAGATAAATAATTATTATTATCAAATAAAAATTATAATTCTATAAGTTTAATAAAAAAAACATTGATTTACTGAATAAAATGTTTGATTAAATAAAATAACTAATTTAATAAAGGGAAAAGTACAATAAAAATCAATGGACTTTCTTGTTTGGAATGATTAAGTCCTCGGACTTTTTTTTGGAACAAATAAGTCCTTGGACATTCCAAAACATGTTAAATAAGTCTTTGGACAATTTTTTGGAACAAATAAGTCCTTGGACATTCCAAAACATGTTAAATAAGTCATTAGACAATTTTTTGGAACAAATAAGTCCTTGGACATTCCAAAATATGTTAAATAAGTCATTGGACAATTTTTGGAACAAATAAGTCCTTKGACATTCCAAAAAATGTTAAATAASTCATTGGACAATTTTTGGAACAAATAAGTCCTTGGACATTCCAAAAAATGTTAAGCAAGTCCTTGAACAATCCAAAACATGTTAAATAACTTCTTGAACTTTTATAAAACATGTTAGATACATTTTTATGACTTGTATAACTAGTTAAAGTGGTAAAATAGTGAAAAAAATTCGGAAAAAACCCAATGAACATTCATATTTTGAACGATTAAGCCCCTAAATATTTTTTGAACAAAAAAGTATTTAGATCTATAAAATTAAACAAATAGAACAAAAAAGTACTTACTTAACATTTTTTGGAATGTCCAAGGACTTATTTGTTCCAAAAATTGTCCAAGGAGTTATTTAACATTTTTTGGAATGTCCAAGGACTTATTTGTTCCAAAAATTGTCCAAGGACTTATTTAACATATTTTGGAATGTCCAATGACTTATTTGTTCCAAAAAATTGTCCAAGGACTTATTTAACATGTTTTGGAATGTCCAAGAACTTATTTGTTCCAAAAAAAGTCCAAGGACTTAATCATTCCAAACAAGAGAGTCCATTGGTTTTTATTGTACTTTTCCCTTTAATAAAACATAAAAATAATAAATTTAATAAAACATAAAAAATAATAAAGAAATGGAAAGCATGCACCATTTAATGCAACTTTTTGAATTTTAAAATAATTTAAAATTATACAAAAATTCTAAATACTTAACTGATTAGCAAGTTAACAGTTAAGTTTTTTAGATAATAAGTATTAATTTGATATGTTTTAAAATGTTCAATCACTTACTCGTTCAAGAAAATTGTCCAAAACTTAATCATTTAAAACATAAAAAGTTTATTGGATTTTTTTTGACTTTTTCCTATCCAAAAACCTAATTTCTCTCAATTTATATGATTTCAAATTTTTTTATTAGTATTATATATGGTTTATTATAGTATTATGTTATTATAATAATAATTTTTTATTTTATGTATTTTTAATTAAAATATTATT